TTAGAATTGTTATATCCTCCTCAAGGAGAGTTCCCTTTATTAGTATGCAGTGTCCTTCTTCATTTATTTTTATTAATTTTAATTTGAAATTTATTTCATCTGATATTAGGATTGCTACTCCATCCGATTTTATAGCGCTATGTTCTTTCTATTTGAGAATATTTGTTTTTGTTGGCAAGTTATGTCTCATAGACAACAGATGGATCTGTTTTACATTTTGATACATTTACTGAATCTGTGTCATTTAATTACAGGGTTAAGTCTATTAATATAGAGTTTTAGGACTGAGAAGTGTTTAGTAACTCCTGTTATGTTACCCACATATCTTCCATATCCTTGATTTTTTTTTTCTGCCGTATTGCTTGGTTATACTGCAAGTATTAAAATTCCTTTAATTGCCACTTCTTATTGTATTTCTATCGATTCTTTTTGTCCATCTTGAATAATTTATATTTTAATGTTGCCTCAATTGTTAACTTCTTTGAAAAATGTTCGTTGATTTCATTATATTAATTTCTCTAGAATGTGTATACACTTATAAATACCATTACATACATCGAGATGACAAAAGAGAAAGAAAAATACTTTGATCATTGTTTTTGGTCAGTCATAGGGCTTGAACTCTGGGTTTGGGCGCTGTCCCTCAGCTCTTCAGCTCAAGGTGAGCACTCTACCACTTGAGCCACAGAGCCACTTCTGGTTTTCTAGTGGGTTATTGGAGATAAGAGTCTCACGGACTTTCCTGCACTGGCTGGCTTTGAACCATTATCCTCAGATCTCAGCCTCCTGAGTAGCTAAGATTACAGGTGTGAGCCACCTGTGCCTGGCTATTTTGATCATCTTTACTTCTCTATATTCTATCCTTTCCCATATCTCAATCTAAATATATTGGGAAGATAATAGTGATTACTGCATTGTACCTGGGGACCTTCAAAGTTGGATTTCAGTGCAAAGGTTGCTGACATCCTGATTATCCATATTGAAGGTTACTCTCTCCATAACGAAGGCCTTGGATTTGGGTGACTCCCTTTGGTATTGTTACATGAATAAGAGTAAAATTCACTCAGCTGATATTTAAGTTCTTGTTTGATTCGATATTAAATGAAGAGCCTTTTATGTTGAGTCTGTGAGCATAGCTTGCTATAGATTCTTCCTTAAATGGCACTTTGCTTCTGAAAGATGCTCTTAAATTGAAAATTTGTCAGTTGCCATGACCTGCAATATAACCACATTTTTGTTGTCTCATGAAAGTCTACTCCACATTTAACAAAATTTTCTGTTCTCCATATGGTAGTGGAGATAAAGAAAGCTCTCTCTTGCCTTAATAATTTTTTTGAATTTCATTCATTACTAATTCATTTCATGTCCTTACCTAATCCTGTATACAGCATGACACTACATTCACATTCCATCACAATTGATGTTAATGTTTTAAAATGTTTATGATGTTAATGTTTTAAAATGTTTATGGGAAGAGAAGCCAGCATTCAATCCTTCAACATCTTAAGTTTGAAAACTCCTCCTGAATCTCTATGCATATTATGCAAGTTTATATTCAAGAACTACCAGGTTTTTCTTTTTCTGGCCATGGCTTTTGTTATTGATGAGATCAACAAAACCCCTAATCTTTTACATAACTTGACTCGGGGATTTGATATCTATGATGTTCAGTATGGAATTTTGACCGAATTTGAAGATCCCTTTATTTTCCTTTTTTGGAATTATAAGATTCCAAAGGACAACTATATTGAAGACAGAGAGTCCATAAGAGTATGTACAGGATCATCAGGAAGAAAACCTGCCCAGATTGGGACACTGCTGAACCTCCACAGGTTTCCACAGGTGAGAGCAGGAAGGCGGGGTGCTATTAAAATGTCTAATTTGATGCCATTTCACGTTTTAGGAGAGTATGATAGGAAGAGACTGGATTTATAAACCTATTAAATTGTATGATACTAAAAAGTAAGTAATCAAAGCCAATGAGATAGGATAGCCCCATTGGCTTGGGAAAGGGGTTAGAAAAGTTAGATATAATAAGGGGAGTTTTTGAAGTTTTAAGCCTTATCATTAATTTTCTTTAAAAAAGAAGAAATAACTTTAAAGCGTAGAGATGTTCAGCAGGGTGCTGTTGGCTCATATCTGTAAATATAGGTACGCGGGAAATCTTTCTAATTAGCCAGAAATAAGTAGGAATTAATTTGTTGTTCAAGTGATTGATTGCTAAATTTGAGGAAAAAGCCAAAAAGTGCATGAGTTCAAAACCTTGTATTACAACACATACATCATGTATAAGATATATTGAATAAAGTAAGTCAGGCTCAGAAAGAAAATGGAGGCATTCTCTCATATGTAATGTTAGACCTAAAATATGAACATCAAATACTAAATCATAGGACTAATATATCCAATTACGTATATACATGACCAATCTGACTATATTATGGTACATATCAGGGTAGAATTTCATGGTGTAACTTTTCAGAAAAATTAACAGATAGTATAAAAATTAGCACCAGAAAACTGAAGCATATCTTCTCTGAGGGGGGAGAGTATTTGTTAAGGGAATGTGGAAAGGGGCAAAGGAATAAGGAGCAGATGGGTGGGCAAATACAACATAATAGTCAATGTACATATGTATAAATGGAACTATTAAAATCATGGAATTTATGGGGTAGGTATAGATGAGAGGAGTTGATGGAAACAGTGATAAAGACCAAAAGACATTGTACAAACTGATTGATTGAATTGTTGTACTATTATTTTAAAATTTTTAAAGATTTTTTTCTTTTCAAAAACAAAAAGAAAAGCCTACCTTCCACATACTTCACATGGTTATATAATATACAACACGACTGGGCTTGTGATAGATGGAAATCTTCTCATTCATTGAACATCGTATTTTCCTTCCCTTTAGGTTACCTTTGGGCCTTTTGATCATGCCCTGAGTGACAATAACAAGTTTTCTGGTCTTAGTCAGATGACACCAAAGGACACATCAGTAGCCAATGCCATGGTCTTATCACTGCTTTACTTCAGCTGGAATTGGGCGGGAATATTAACCTTGCAAGATGAGAATGGTTTGTGGATTCTTCCTGCACTGAAAGAAGAGATGACCAAAAACAGGGTTTGTGTAGCCTTTGAGTTAGTGATAGCCAACTATGTTATATCATATATTTTGAAAATGATGGCATGTTATAGTCAGCTAAATAAACTTTCTTCAGATGTCCTCATTATCTTTGTTGATAATGAATTCCTACTATATTTATTAGTGTGTATTGAGCAAATTTTAATAAAAGAAAAAGTTTGTATCATGCGCTGAGTGGGATTTAATGATGAGAAAGAGATATTTCACGCTTGCTTCATTGCATGTACTTTTCATTTTTTCACATCATCATCCAGATGTTTGTGGATTCACAAATTTTGTTAAGGAAGTTAACCTTTCCAAATACCCAAAAGACTTTTTACTTGGTAGGCTGTGGTTTCTCTCTTTTAGTTACTCAGATTCTGAATCTGACTATGTAATGTAGGAGACTGTACTCATGATGCTTCCTAGGATTGGTTGTCTAGGCATATTTTTGACATGACTATGATGGACACAATTACAATATATACAATGCTTGTGTATGCTGTGGCCCACACTCTCCATGGCATGCTTCTTCATCAATCAGAAGTACAAACAATGGGAAAAAGAATATGTTCAGTGCCTTACTCTACACTAACGTTTTAATGGCATAACAGTGAAGAAAGTCATTTCCTGACAGGTTTCTTACTTTATAAAATTATGTAATTAACATATGTTTCCAAAACCTAACAAATTATATTTAATTAAATGTCAGCGAGGTACTCTAGACATGTGTGTTTATTAAGTTAAAGCCAGTCATTAAAAAGGACAAAATATAGCCGGGTGTTGGTGGCTCACGCCTGTAATCCTAGCTACTCAGGAGGCTGAGATCTGAGGATTGCGGTTCAAAGCCAGCCAGGGCAGGAAAGACCGTGAGACTCCTATCTCCAATAAACCACTAGAAAACCAGAAGTGGCTGTAGCTCAAGTGGTAGAGTGCTCACTTTGAGCTGAAGAGCTGAGGGACAGCACCCAGGCCCAGAGTTCAAACCCCACAACCGACAAAAAAAAAAGGACAAAATATATTTCATCTTTCCACAAATTATTTGTTTCAAATAACCCCAACATGCTCATAGCTAATGTTTTGAAAACTAAAAATTTACCTTTTCCTGATATTAACAAAGATGATCTGCTAAACAGAATTGTCGATATTTTTCATGTGTCTAGATTCATTCTTCTTTATGCATTAAAAATTTAACATGTTCAAACTACAGACCTTCAAAAAATTAGTTTTTTTTTTGGAAAACTGTAGATGTGCAATTGGTAATAGTTTCATTCATGATTATTTGCATGGAATTGGTTTTTCTTGAAAAGAAGCCTAATTATTTGTTGAGAGACCAAGAATTAAAAAGATTATTTTGATTATTTATTGTCCCACAGAATTTCTTCTGGGATAGTTCATTAGGTTTTTCTGCTATTTTTGAATTCTGAATCTGAAATTAAAGGCTATCAGGAACTTACCTTAGTTCAGTTTTTCTGCTTTAACTCTGATTTGTAATTCATCATAAGATGATGTATATCTTTTAGGTGTACACATTTCTGAATAAAATGCAATTTTACAATACTGTTGAAGATCAAGTGAGTTTGCATGAAGAAAGGAAACTGGAGACAGAATATGACATTGTGAATATTTAGAATTTTCCAGGAGGTCATCAGCTTGAGACTAAATTATAAAAGTTTTCCTCACATAATCTATATGGCTATCAATTGTTTTTATATGCAAATATGGGAGAGTGGGCCATAGGAACCACAGAGGTGTGTTGGATCAAATTATAATGACATATAACTAAGCAGAATTCAATCTTAAAATTTATACCTGGCTGGGGGCTAGAAAATTACTCCTGGAAGACCTTCTGCGTTGCCCTGGCAGAGTGGGCCAGCCCTTCGGGCTGTAGATATGTGTAACACACCAACTTACTGTGACCTAGGAAAGGCTGCCAAAGATATCTTCAACAAGGGATATGGGTTTGGCATGGTCAAAATAAATCTGAGAACCAAGTCTTGTAGTGGAGTGGAATTTTCTACTTCGGGTCATGCATATACTGATACAGGGAAAGTGTCAGGCAATCTAGAGACCAAGTATAAGGTCTGTAACTATGGACTTACCTTCACCCAAAAATGGAACACAGACAATACTCTTGGGACAGAGATCTCTTTGGAGAATAAATTGGCTGAAGGGTTGAAACTGACTCTTGATACCATATTTGTACCGAACACAGGGAAGAAGAGTGGGAAATTGAAGGCTTCTTATAAATGGGATTGTTACCGTCTTGGCAGTAATGTGGATATAGATTTTTCTGGACCAACCATCTATGGCTGGGCTGTGTTGGGTTTTGAAGGTTGGCTTGCTGGCTATCATATGAGTTTTGACACAGCCAAATCCAAACTGTCTCAGAATGATTTTGCCCTGGGCTACAAGGCTGCAGACTTCCAGCTGCATACTCATGTGAATGATGACCCTGAATTTGGAGGCTCCATCTACCAGAAAGTTGATGAGAAGATTGAAACATCAATAAATCTTGCATGGATGGCTGGTAGCAGCAATACCCATTTTGGCATTGCTGCTAAATACAAGCTGGATTGTAGAACTTCTCTATTTGCTAAAGTAAATTATGCCAGCCTGATTGGACTGGGATATACTCAGACTCTTCAGCCAGGAGTCAAACTGACCCTATCAGCGTTAGTTGATGGGAAGAATTTCAACGCAGGAGGGCACAAGGTTGGGTTGGGATTTGAACTGGAAGCTTAGGTTGATTTTTGAATAAAGCATCAGATTTGTCCCTACAAGTGAAGAGAAATGAACCCACTATATTTTAGCCTTAAAAATTCTTCTATGAAATTTCATATCAAACCTTATGAGATAGCTGTTGCTGCATTAATTCATCTTTCAATGGCTTTGTCATATTGCTTTTGTGTTCATAGACATTCTGTTATGTTTTCCTTCAAAGTTGGTAACACAACTGCAATGTAGCTTTTGACTTTTCTTGAAAAATAGATGGATTATGCCTAATGTTTCTATTCACTTCCACCAACCATCCTATGGCAAAAACAGCTATAAGTGGTGTATTCTTCATTAGAATAGCAGATTTTGCACAGAGGTGAAAATAAAAACTGAGTTTGCCTATCATCTTAGGAAGAATAGTTATCAGGAACACAAAAAATTGCAGATTCTGTTGAGGCTATGTAGAAATAACAAGCAATGGATGTTATTCTCAAAGTTAAATGTAGAGCTATTCTTTGAAAACCTTGCACTAGTTGTGTGGATGAAACTCAAATTCCTTTATATATTCCAGTGTAGAAATGTTTGTCATTGCATACCTATACTAGTGAATTAATAAAATCAAGCCAGATGTCCAACAGCAGATAGCTATTTAAAGAAAAATGATATATCTATATCTATACACACACACACACACACACAAATGAGTTTTCTTCAGCCAAAAGAATGACTAAAATCCCAGCATTTGCTAGAGAACAGCTTGTATTGTAGATCATAATATTATGAAAAGCAATAAAATATCATGAATTCAAATACTTCATTTTCTCACCTATATGAAGTTTAAGAGTAAAAATACATGAATATAAGAAAATTGTTGCTGTTAGAGGAAGGACATATAAATACAATGATCAAAGCTAATTGCATGTAAGTATAGAAATACAATAATACGCCATCTTAGAACAAGTAATCTAAAACAATTGAAAAAGTTCTCATAACTTAATGGGTATAGAGTTTAATCAAGACATAGTTCATTTTAGTGATCTATTAATCTATGATAATGATTCATGGGATACAATATTATTCTTTTCTGTCAGTTGTGGGGCCTGAACTCTGGGCCTGGATGCCATCCCTCATCTCTTCAACTCAAGACTAGTGCTATACCACTTGAGCCACAGTGCCACTTCCAGCTTTTTCGGCTTATGTGATGTTGAGGAGCCGAACCCAGGGCCTCGTGCATGCAAGGCAAGCAGTCTACCACTGAACAACCTTGCCAGCCTAAAATATTATTCTTTAACATACATTATACATAAAATTTTATTCATGTCTGACAAAGTATTTTAAGACCAAAGTCCTCTAAGTAACACCTATCAAATATTACACATCTGTTGTAAGGCACCCATCAGCCATAGCTGTGAGAATAAATATGCCTATATAAGTACATCAATAAAAATATTCAAATATATTTTGGGGCAGTTAAGTGAAGGAAAAGCAGGTCAACATGTAAAATAGAGGAAATTAAGAAAGAAAAACAGACAAACGTAGAGTAATGGAATGTAAGCTAGATAAAGATCTAGTCTGTAACATGAAAGAGATTAATTCTTAAACCTGCCTTTTCTGCTAAATATGATATTTAGCTCAGGTTACACGTAGACCTTAGAACCTTTACTACAGTGGTGCAAGCAAGTGGTACATTCAATGACATTTTGGGGGGTGATAAGAATAAATCATGTCATGAGAATTTCTAGCAGAATTCAACTGGCTAGGTAAATTTCTCTTATCACAAATTTCCCTTATTACAGATCTGTTTCCAGCCCCAGCAAAGCTCATGGATCATGTAACCAACCTGACATGAAATAATAACACAGAGCTTAGATTCAGGCAGTAACTGCATCGCTACAGTGTGATTTTGTTTCCCAACAAAATTGTCAAAATACACATCATCTCCAAACTATTGAAGAAACTGACCTATGAAGAATGAATTATGTTTTGTAGCTACTTGGTACAGAACACAAGTCATTTACTTAACTTGTGTTTCTAATACTATTACTTCATCATTTGAAAATGACAGCCAGGATGCTAGTGGTGAAGTGGAGATCTTAGAACTATAAATAGTGGATACTACATGGCAAAAAAATCTATTTTGCAAGAAAAATTTATAAGTATATGTGATATTTGTGTATGTGTGTTATTATTTTTTTTTACTGAATGAGCTCATCAACTTCCTTCATCTCAGCTTCTCCACTTCCTTGGACGACTGTGGAAAACTTCTAGCTCTGGATCTCTGCATCTGAGGCCCTGCATCTGAGAGAAAAACAAGACTTGGAAAACTTGTTTGAGGATCCTCCTCTCCACCTCCAGGTGCTATGAATTTACCCAAGACCATTGGTATTAACGACCCAAGGGTAAACTCTACTCTTCTTAAGCCAGTGTCAAGAAACTATTTGCATATAAACCATTTGGGATGACACATATTGATTGCATTAGGAATGCAATGCAAGGTACATGATGAAAAAGACAGAAATGTCCTGTAACAAGAATAATTTAACCACTCAAGCTATCATGTCCTCAAAGGCAAGGATAGGGTGGGGGATCCTCACACACTCAGTGTTCATCAGAGCTACCAAATATTACTTGTTGATTCTGACAAGTTTCAGTAAGAATCACATGATCAGAAGTTTCCACAAATAAATCCATTTACTATAGCCTGGGCAACAAATTGTTATGTAGAAACAGAGTAGATACATAGCTGAATTCTGCAGTTGCACATCAGTAACTCAAAGTGACTGTAGAAACTGAGTTTCATGTTCATGTTCTGATCAATTACCTATATTGCTGGTAATTTTGCTAGTCAGGTTTGAATACGTGGTTGAGTATATGGACATAATTCTTTGATACATCCACAACGTTGAGCTTTTCCTTCTTATGGTTTTCCGAGAATATGTTATGATGTAGGAAATCATGTTTTCCCTAAACCCTAAAGCAGAAACATAAAAACAACTCCGTGTTTTCTATCATTCAGAATATATTGGACACAGAATGCACAAGAAAACATCAATAAATATGGAGAACAGATATTTCAGAGAAGTGAAAATATTCTGTAAAGACTGAAATGTCGGATACATTCTTTACTATGCCTATCTATCTAATGAGCAACAGAAAATAGTAATCTTATTAGAAATTCAGGGCTGAAAATAACAATGACACATTGATGTTGGCTCATAATTTGTGCCTTGAACCACACTAATGCAACATATCAACAGAGGAAACAGGGAAGGCAAGGAAGGTGGAATTTCTGGTAACCTTTTGTATTCTTTAAGTTATCTGTAGCCTAAAATGCCTCTATAAATAGTATAGTAGTCATAAAAAAGCACACTTTAATCAAATGTCCACAAGATTTGTAACATTTTTAACATTTATTACATTATAGAAGATTTTAATTACTTATTTTCCTGCAATTAAAAACCATATTCATTGTACATGAGGATTTTTTTTTAGTTGTGGGGCTTGAACTTGGCCTGGGCAATTCCTTAGCTCTTCAGCTAAAAGCTAGTTCTCTACCACTTGAGCCACAGTTCTACTTCTTGTTTTCTGGTGGCGTATTGGAGATAAGAATCTCATAGGCTTTCCTGTCTGGGCTGGCTTTGAATCATTACCCTCAGATCTTAGCCTCTTGAGTTTCTGGAATTACAGATGTGAGCCACCAGAGCCCACCTGCATATGAGGATTTTATTTGGACATTTTTATATTTACATACAAGGTTACCTGATCAGGCTTATACCCTCTATAACAATCTCTCATCCACATTACCTTCTATATTTGTGTATATGTTTGTAGATTAGGTCTAACATACACATGAGAAAAGTCATTTAGCCTTTGCTTTGAGAAATCAACTGGACTCTGTACAATGTTCAATATTATCCTCCAATTTTTGGTTTACAGTAATTCATCCATGTATATTATAACGTCTTGCATCCTCTAGTAGTAACTTATTTACTGGTTTTCTGTAAGTGGTTATGGCAGCAGCTTTGGAATGATAGGGTGTTACTTCCAGTGATTCTTTGCCCACTACACCGGTTTTCCTAGGTATCTAACTTTCCCATCAGATGAAAGTTAACTATTCAAGTGACAAGAGTTCTTTTAGATCATGAACTTGCTATATTTGGCAAAAGAAGCAGGATTTCTTGTCTTATTGCTTAGATATTTGAGCAGACACAGCTGCTTTGTGTGAATGAGGTTGCACTAAGCAAGGGGCAGGTTAGATTCCATAAATGACTACTTGAGCTGGTATCATGCTGAAGAAGGCTCATCCTCTTCCCCAAATTTCCATTTCATTCACATTGCACAGCTGTTGTTCTTCCCTCACACGGTTCAGTATCCATGAAGAGGTTAAGTCTTGGAGTTTTAACTAGATTTTGTCTCACAAAAATCACAGCAATGTTTTTAAAGCTTTGAAGATTTATGGATGTGCTTTAAAACTGGTGACATAGGCTTGCTGCGGGAGCCTTTTGCCCTGCATTGTGATTTTAGTTCCCCTTCCCATCTCTTGAGAGAGTTTAGTCAGGCTTGTAGCTTTACCTACATTTTTCTCTGATGCCTCTTTCTTTTGCCACCTGAAACAATCTTGTTGTCCTTTCACCTCCTCTATGAATACCAGTGTAATTTTTACCTTTTCTTCAGAATGTATTCTTTTTTTTTTTTGTCAGTCGTGGGGCTTGAACTCTGGGCCTGGGCGCTGTCCCTCAGCTCTTCAGCTCAAGGCGAGCGCTCTACCACTTGAGCTACAGTGCCACTTCCGGTTTTCTGGTGGTTTATTGGAGATAGGAGTCTCACGGTCTCTCCTGCCCGGGCTGGCTTTGAACAGCGATCCTCAGATCTCAGCCTCCTGAGTAGCTAGGATTACAGGTGTGAGCCCTCAGCGCCCGTCAGAATGTATTCTTTCAACAGTTGTTTGTCCCAATTCACAAGGTCAAAGTAGTGCATTCCACTAATCTAACATCTTGCCTACTGTAAAGACTGCCCCAGGCCACCTCTACCATGCTCGGTAAATAAACTTTTCTTGCCTGAATACCATATCATATCATATTCTCTTTATTAGCTATCTACTT